TTCAAATGAAACTTAAAAGACTGGGACCTGGGAACAAAGCTCCCTTAAACTTCACTGAAAACCCTCGCCTTGGTGCTTTGAAGAAATGGCTTTTTATTGCATAGCTGTATTTTACCTCAAAATTGTAGAATTTTAGGAGGTTGGGTGTCTGGCTTGAGACCTACCACAAATGAAACTGACCTTATCATAACCTTTAAAAATCCAAACAACCCAACAGTCTATGTGAGAAACTGCCACAACTATTTTGGCAACATTTACCAGTCTAAAAGTCAGCCTTTTAGGGCTGACCTAGCATGAAGAGTGAACCACATGCCAAGCCATAATTTTCCTCCTCCTTCCAAAACTGCAATTGTCTCATTTTTTTTAAACCACAATCCAGTGTCTTAAGTCCAGCAGTGAATGTTAACAAAGCCTTGACCTGCAGAGGGCTAATTTCCACGGGGACCATTAAAGGAGAAAAACCTTTCTATAAATGCCAGATTCTGTAAACTGAGAAGTTCATCACTGCAATACCTAGAGTAGTGTGGAAAGTGCCAGGAATGGAATCCAGAACCCCTTATTAGAGGCTGAGATTCTGCCTCCAGAGTCAGGTAGCAGAGGGTGGAGACAGCACAGTTTGGAAGGTTTCAGTTGGGAATGAAAAATCTTTTAGCATCTTTGCTATGTCTTTGTCTATGGTACTGAATTCTCTGCTAAGCTAGGTTCTTAGTCTGTCTAACAAAAGCTAAGAGGACTCTCTAATTTATAGCATAATGCCAGAAGGAACTGCAATGGCATCTGTCCCCTTTTGTTTTGCAATTGCACAGAAAAAGGGAGAGATCCCAAATGCTGCATGAAAAGAAAATAGTTGAGTGCTTTTTCCCCCCCCACCCAGAACACCCTATCCCCAGAATTTCAGTCACATGAAAAGGGACACATTTTTCTCCTTTCTCCCTACCCTGCTACACTCTTGCTAACATTCTATCCTCCCAGCTGGTGCAGGAAAGATGATAACCCAGCACACAGGATTCAGGGGGCAGAAAAGATATTGAAATTTGAATCCAAGTGTGGATTCATCAGGGAAATGGATGCTTTTGCTTTCCCTTCTCTTAGTCCCCATATGATCCGACGCAGTTTGTCTTTCAGCTTTCCAACCTGTGGGCTGCAGCTATTGCTCTCCTGCACCATGCTCTCAGGTACTGAGACCACTGTGTGATGAAGGATCTGCTGCCTGCATTTGCTTCTGTGAGGTCAGAGATTATAGCAAATGGAGGCTGCAGTTAGGTGGTGCTTAACTTCGCTGATACAAGCTAAAATGGTTAACCTTGGGCAATTTGCACATACAGCCCCAGATACAGTGGAAGTTTCCTTTGGAAGGTAGACACCTCCTAATTATCCACTGTGTAGGACTTACCATGATAATAGATTCAAACAGTCATAAAAATTGGCTTTACATCCTCTTTTAAGTACCTTAGGTCCTATTTTAGATCTGGGTCTAGGCAAGTAGAAGCAAAAGAACTTCCTGCAGAGCTCATGCTCATTTCACATCCTCAGTGTTCGGTTTTTTACTTTTTTGGCATCTTTGAAGATCCAAAGTCTCCTGATACTTTTGTGTCTGGGTTCCTGCCACCACTGCTATTGAATGAAAGGCTTGAAATTTGAGAAAATTTAACTTAGAAATATTTTCACTATTATCTTTGTCTTTAAACTGATATCACAGCACCATAAGTATAATAAAGTAATTAAAATTTCTGGTTTTTTCAAGGAATTGTAGAGAGGACCTAATGTGAAGTACAGGTAACAGAGAAAACCCAAGTAAGGGGCAGGAGTTAACACCTCATTTATTAAAATCTTTTAAATGCTTGGAATTCAATGCAGAGAAGTCTCTTTTTCACCATAATTATGTGAAAGACCAGAATAAAACAGAGTTAAATGGGGCAAATATATAAATAAGAGAACCTACAGTTTGCGGTAGCTTTACTTACTATCTTAATTATATATTTCCTTTGAATGTTTCTTTTTTCCCTCCCTGGGACAGATGGAATAAATTAATCTTAAATGCAGCATAAAATCTATTCCAGATCCCCTCATATGCCAGTGTTTAAACAAAACTAACTAGAATAATAAAAGTCAGAAATGGAAAAGATCTATTAGCTGACCACCTAAAATTTTATATACAGAAATGTATCAATTTAACTAAACCTATTTCTAAATATTTAAGGAGGTTTGGTTACATCTTAAATCAGTTCAACAGTGGCTAAAGTCAGTTTATTTCACTTTGAAACCACTCTTAAAAGCAAGTAAAAGTGACCTGCTTTTAAGCACAGTTGCACTAGCTAAATAAATGCATGTGTGTAGGCCAAGAATCCGAGAGGCAAGCGGGTCTGTCCAATTCTGCTAACAGACTACCAATACCACTTTTGTGGGGCTCAGGGTTGTCTGTGGCCATTGCAGTGATGGAGAATAAAATATTTACCCAAAGCAGAGCCCTGAGTTGGGAATCAAGAATTGTTGTCTCGGTTTTGCTTGTCTAGCCTCGGGGGAATCTCCTAATGACCCACTATTTCTGAAAATATTCATGTCTCCTACCTGAATGTGGTGATTCAAATTTCAGCAAGCTGGGAACCAGGCAAGTATAGCATTTTGTCCCAGTCCTGAAAGAAATTGTATTAATTTAATTTTGTGAGTAAATTGTTTTGGATGGCAGTTTACCAGTCACAAAGCATAGAATAGGTTGTTTCCATGTGTTCTGAATTACTATATAGGTGTCTGCACAGGACTGTTTTGTATGAGCCCCATTTATGGCATTTTGTCCAAACTAGCTTTTAACAACTTGCTGGGGGGAGGATGGAAGAGGGAATATTAAGGGGGCTTATTCCATACCTAAATCCTTATATTTATGGGAATGTGAATGTGAAATCCTCCACATAAAATGAGAAATCATTTATCCACTTTCAAAATGACATGAATGCAACCCTTACCAGACAGCCAAAACAGATCAAACACCAACTTTCCTATACTGCAATTTTTTTTCCTAGTTCTTGATGAACAGTAGAAGCTGAAAGTTTCCTCTAAAAATCTCTGAAGACACTCAGTGGGTTAACCTTCTGTGATGCTGAGAGGCCACAGGACAACACACGAGTTCAGTGTCTCTCCAAGGTGGAGCAAGGGGAATTCACCTGTTTCATAACAAGCACTTTGGGGTTTGGGACTGACCTGTTGACACAACATGGCAACATCACCTTGTCAGCTCTTCCAAAGGTGCTCTCCTTTCCTTTTATTTCACAAGAGTCCTACCCACATCCAGATTATTTTAGAGAAGCAGGACTATGCACTATTGGAGGCAACAGTAGCATGAGCTACACCCAGCCTGTTAAACAATGCTAGGTGTCACTATTAATTTGTGCTGCCATATACAACTTGGGACACTACTGGCAGTCTTGAAATGAGGGACAGCAGTGCTATGCAATGTAGAGATGGATATAAAAGTATTGGTGGCAAACTAAACCAGTTTAGCATTTCTTAGAACAGCCGAAGGTTGGTTTGTGTAGTATAATTTTATATTCTGGTCAGTTTTATGTCTTAAATGTCAAGACTTTCACCATTTTACTTCTTTCTTGTAAGACATAAATAAGAAAAGGTATAAAAAAAGACCTTTTTATTTAAAAAAAACTTTTTTTTACTTCCATTCACTTTCTGCAAGTGGCCATTTCCTGCAGTTGATAGAAATTTGGTGGTTGTTAGAGATTTTTGAAGAGAAAATTCCAACTTGTCAAAGAATTTTCCACAGAATATTAAAAGAAAAGGCCTCCAGTTATGGGGTAGATTTAACTGTCCCACAGTATCTACATTGTGGGGAACACAGAGCACCCCGTCCCAGTTTTGTGCTTGATTCAGAAGAGACAAAGAGCTGGTAGCCCAGGTTAGAGAGCCTGGCTAATCAGTTCTGCCCCTTCCTCTTGTAAAATCTGCCACATACTGAATGGACACAGTGGATTAAGGGAAGACTTGGTTGGTTTTTTGGGTTTTTTTTGGCTGGGAGAGATCTTGGTTCACACCTACGTGGACGGATATTTGTATTTCTGTAAGTGATGGAGAAAGAGATAGGTGCGTTCACTTCCAAACACAAAATAGGTAGACATGCATGACATGATATAGGAGCGCACCCACAACTTCACTCTCACCCTATAGACACTACCGCTCAGCTTTCCCACATCAGCATTTCCTCACAGGCAGGATTCAAAATGCTTTAACGCTCCTTTTGCATCATTGTAGAAACTCTCATCAGGTTGGAAACCACCCCTTGCCCGTCTCCGTGTGTAATTTCAAAGTTACTGTATTCGATGAAATGCACAAGTGCCAGGCACCACTGAGAGAGGCTGGAGAAAGCTCAAAAAAGAAAGATCTCAAATTAAAGGCTTAACAGCGGATGTTCCAATACCGGATGGAGAGTGAAGACGTCCATACATTTAACAGTGTCTCTTGACTTCCACTGGACATGGGGCGCTGCACCTTTAGCCTTGGAAGCACTGAAGCGCGGCGGCGAAGGTGCTGAAGCAGTTCCTGAGCCAGAGCCCCGCAGGCGGTGTCCCGGCGCGGCTGGCAGGGGCAGGCTGTGCCCGCGGTGTCCCTGTAGGCAGGCTGTGCCGGCGGTGTCCCTGGAGGCAGGCAGTGCCGGCGGTGTCCCTGTAGACAGGCTATTCCCGCGGTGTCCCTGTAGGCAGGCTGTGCCCGCGGTGTCCCTGTAGACAGGCTATTCCCGCGGTGTCCCGGCGTGGCGGGCAGGCCGTGCGGCGGGCCGGGCGCGCAGGAGGCGGCGGGCGCGGCGGGCGGTGCCTCTCCCAGCGCGGGGCGGGGGCCGGGCCGGCCGGGCGGGCGGGCGCTGCTCTCGCTGTGGCTGCTGCCGCTGTCGCTGCTCTGGCTGTCGCTGCTCTGGCTGCCGGGGTTCTCTCTGTCGCACACGGCCCCCCAGCCCCGCCGCCATGGAGAAGCAGCCCGGCGGCGAGGACGAGTGCGTGGACTCGGGAGCGGAGACGGGCGGGTGAGTGCGGGCGGCTCTCCTGGGCTGCACTTGTTGCCGGCAGCGGCGGGGCTGGGGAAGGGCTGGGGCGGTGGCTTCGTGTCCCGGGCAGAGCTTCCCTTCCACCGGCGCCCCGGCAGCATCCCGCTCAGCGCCGAGACTCCTTGCCTTGCCTTTCCTATCCTCCTGCCGTCCTGGGACTCGCCCGGCGTGACCCCCGCGGAGGCATCACCCTGCTCCCGCTGCCCCGGGGAGTTCGCGTTCCCCTCCGGTGAAGCAATCCCCACCGTCCTTCTGCTGCGCACGGGGAGGAGGACACGGAGAGGCCGTGGCTGCGGGATTTAAGTTGGAGCTCCAAAGCACGCTGTGATGGCTCGGCGGTGGGACCCGCGCTCAGCTCCGCGGGCTGTGGATGCGCTGGTCAGGGCTTGGTGCCGCGCCAAGCCTGTATCCCAGGGAAAGTGCGGCTGAGGATGGTCTGGAAGCGTGTCCAGGACCTATCCTCCTTCTGGCAGTGACACCCAGATAGCATCAGGTAAAGAGAGTTGACTCCTTAGAAGGACCATTTAGAGCCGTCTACAAAAGCAAGTTAGATTTGTAGGCATCCTGAGAGTGCGTTGCTGTTGTCATGTGTTGTCATGATTCTCGTTGTGATACTCACCATGCTAGTCTGTGAACTGCTGTAAACTTTGCTGGTAGTGTCATCTCAGTCAAGGAAACTTTTTTCCCCTGTCTTCATGACTGACTTCACTACTGCCAGAGGTGTGCTGTGTTAGCTGTATGACTTCATCTGAGTTAATGGAGCTGCAAGGATGATCCATGGGATCTCCCATTCAGCTCACACCTTCAGCCTATCTCTGTGGGAGAGAAAGACAAGTGCTTTCAAGCCTGTCCTACATGCTGCTGCCATCATATCTTGTCAGGAATGGCAATGAGCCTTTGCTCTTCCTCTGGCTCCAGAAGGGCAAAAGGAGGTTGCATACTCCTGCTGAGGCTGTTCTTTCTTGAGTCTTCCTTCTCCTCTCTCTTTGCTCTTCCAGCTGTTTCTCTCCAAGCTCCTTGCCTGGTGCATCTCCTTTGGCCTCTAGTTTGACTCTTGCGAAACTGTAAAGCTAATTCTTTGCACAGTGCTGTCAGGTGCACAACACCAAAACTGAAGGAACAATATTACAAATAAAAATCTAAAAGGTGAAAATGGCATATGGTAATCTTTTTCATACATCCAGCTAGTAACTAAAATAATCTTTTAATCTCTTCTGTAGTCTGAGAAGTTAAGGACTTTTTCCATCACCTTGTATTGTGGACACACCTAAAGGCTTTGAAAGTCTTTAAAATACTTTATGTGTCTTAAGTTAAAAGGAAAAAATCTAAGCCTTTCTTCCACATATAGGTTAGTCCCCATTAGGAACATGGGTAAGAGGAAGACAAAGTAATCAGTGAACTCATTCCTGGTTCAAAGCTCAAAAACCCCTTGATTGGTCAAGTCACTCTTAATTTGCTGTGTTTATCTGGAATGGAAAAACCTGGGTTTCCTTGGGACAGACACTTGGAAGGGTTTGACCCAGCTGGTGACATTAGCCTTTAGACCTCAGGAACCAGCGTGACAGCTGCTTGAGTCTGGTGTTGATGAGGTGCTAAAGCTGATGATTTTATGAAGCATCTTTGCCCCATGCATGACACTTGAAAGTATAGGTTGGTGGAAGAGTCTGTCTGAGGAATTTGAACAATAACATATGGCAATTAATAACTGCAGTGCTTTGCACTGATGTTTATTTTGAAAAGCAATGGGTCTCTGCATTTCAATTATTATTTTTAGTTTTGTTTAGCAGCTATTTAATTCTGATAAACATGTTGCGTATGTCTCTTTCACAATGTTTATATTTCAGCTTTCTCACCAAACCAACTGTTCACAGCACTTGCTTTTCCCTGTTACCAGAAGATCTATTTGCTTTGTCTCAGTCCCATCACAGCTATTGCTAAATTGAACTGTACTCCTTTTTCTCCAATTACTCAAGGGTAAAAAAAAAATTAAAAAGAAAATTAATTAACTATTCTGAGCTTCAGCAATCATCCTCTGAAAGAATAAGGAGGAAGAACCGTCAGAGTGGTTCAGTAACAGTTTTGCATGGAGTGGTCCCTTTCTGTCACTCAGGGAACAATAGTGGATAGTGACTGTAGTAAATCCAGGCACTGCACGCCCTTGTCATCTCAATGATTGTATGTAATGATGTGTGAGCTCTTACACGGAGCCTGGGCTGCTGAAGCTGCTTAGAGCAGCTAACAAATTGAACACATCAAGTACTCCACAGGGCATATGTTACTTAAGGTTTTGTTGTGGCTGCCAGCTACAAAAGCAGGCAAAACTCTCTGCTAAAGGCAAGATCAATTACAATTCAAACCCTTCATTTTCCTAATCCTTTGGAAAATATGTTCCTCTTGGTAAATAGGGCTGGCAAAGAGTCCGCTGAACAAAAATAGCATATTTGGAGTTCCTGAATCCAATAAGAATGGATTGAGCTGGTGTTGTCAAGTGCCTAAATAAAGGGTGTAGAACGCATAAGCCAATTAGTTTATATTGGCTGTTTATTAATGAGATTTGAAATAGTTTGACCATCCTTGATCTGAGAGACTTTGCCTATATAATTTGTAACTTCTCAGGAAATATATTTTGGGAGTTTTTGGTATAAAAACCTTATTTCATCTGCTACTGAAAACTTTTAGTCCAGAAGTATGGGACACAGAGCTTTCTCTGGTAATAGTTTCAGTAGTGGATTTGTACTATACAACCTGACATTCTAGGAAGAATAAAATAGTCTTTATTTGGTCTTTTATTAGAAAGAAAACAGAGAGGAAAAACCAGTGGAAGAAAGATTGAAGGGAGGAGAAATGTGTATGTTTCGGAACTGTAGTTAAATGGCAAAGAAAAACAAAAAAGTGAGAAAAATAACAGTTATTTAAAATCAATTGTAGAAATATTAATTTTAATGTTTTCTTCATTTTACAAGCTATGCAAATGCTGCTATTTCACTGTCTTTGAACAGCAAAGATGACAAACTAAGACAATTTTGGAAGTGGTCAGACATGCCTGATTTCAAGGTAACGAGACAGATTGGCTACCACTGGTATCAAGGCCAAAGCATAATTTTAATTCACTGTGTTCAGAACCAATATCCCAAGTGAATGTGGAAAAACAGGTAGTTTCTCAGTTCTAAATAATGAAAGTTCTAAGCATTTCAACATCCATGACAGTTCCCAGCAGAAATTTACTTGTTCACTTAGTCAGCTGTAAGAGCCCATGTCTTAAAAGGTTCACACTTTAATCATTAGCTCACTGATTGTCTCAGAGTTTGCCTAAACATGTAGTTTTTTTCCATCACTTTAATGTAATTTAAAGTTTTGAGAAGTTATAGCTTTTAATTTATTTGAATTTGCAACTTACCCTCTTGTATTTCAAATAAATTATTAATCTTTTTAGAGAAAATGGGGGATCTTGCTGAAGTACCAGGTGGGGAGATCTTTTGTATAATAAGTTTAAAATGTAAATATTGATGATGCAAACTGAATTAAAGAGTAGTTGAGTATTTGATGAATTTTAGGAAGGAAGGTTATAGTATTTTTGGAAGTGGACAACTGCAACCAAACAGTTCAACAAGATATAAAGAAATCCATTGCAAAACAGAGAAACAAGAGATGTTTGAAGTTTATGAGCCTGTACCATGAAGCAGCTATTTGTAACAGGTATTTAGCAAAATCCATTGCTGTTATTAATTTTCATGGTGCTTGTTGCCTCCTTTATATTTTCTCCTGTATTTCTCCTGTATATCTCATTCCTCAAATTAATTTTGCAGAGATTACGTTCATCTTTGGAGTGTGCTGTACTTGTTTATTGGTTATCCTTATGGCTCTCTCTAGCTGCATGTGTGATCCTGGCCAAGTCACAAATCGTTTGAGCCTCTGTTAACTTATATCTTAAGCAGATCAAAAAAACCTTTTTTTAAATTGTTGCAGTTCCGTAAAAGGTGTGAGGTTCTAAAGCAGCAAATACACTTGTTAATAGAAGATAAGGCAGCCTATGTGTACATATATATATATATGAAGTTGTACCCCACTTAGAGATAAAATATCAAGAGCACTGTAATCCATGTGGGTCCTCAGTCAGAATGGTTCACTTAAATTATCAAATGAATAGCTGAATGGTTTATTGGGATTAGAGGTTGCTTTCATGTCTCATATTTCTGGCTTTAAGGATTTCAACTCTTACAACTTTGTATGGCAGTCCTTCAAAATGATATGTCGGTCTCTTGTCACGTGTTTCATCCATCTGTGAGAAACTCTCAGGAACAGAAACCACTGATGTTGAAAGCTATTTTAAGGCCTGTTTTTACCTTGGGGCTTCTTTTGTTTTGGAGGTCATTTAGCTGTGAGTTTTTCGCTGACACTTTCACTTTGTATATAGACCCATCAGTCCAGATGTGTCATGATACTCAAGTTGTCTCTGATTTGACATTCGAATAATGTGAAGTTGAGCTGTTTGTCACAAACTGGGGTTGAGGCACCATTTCCAACCAGATTTACTTCAGTGAAGCGAAGCTGTTTGGTTGAACATCAGGGCAGGCACACCTGAGATTCCCAGGCACTGAAGCAAGGCATGGAAAGCAAGGTTGAAACAGACATTAAGTCACATTCTGGAGGCCATGAGTTCTGTGCTGAATCCGTAATTTTTAGGTCCCAGCAAGCAGTGAGGTTCACCTCAGCTAAATGTAGCTGTGTGAAGGTTTGATGTTTGTTATAAATCAGACTTCTGTTGTTAATTAAGAGAACCAGGACCTCAGGAGGATAAGTCAGTCCCAGCCTGGCATGGGTGGATACATGGCACCTGATGTGTCCCTCTGGGAGTGCTCTGTGAGGGAGTGGTGAGCAGGGTGTGCAGCCAGGTGTGCTCACTAAAGCACAGGGTGGTCCTGCCTCATCAGCTGCTTTCTGGAAGACTTTTCATACCTTATACAACAATGGTGTCTCTC